AGTGTAAAAACACTGAGTTTTCTCAGAAAAAATCCACAGAGACTTAGAGATATGTCAGGAGGAAATCTACTCTCACTATGGCACTCTCTGGAAGCTCCTATCCCACCTAACCAACATGGTAAAGTCCCCCAGGGACTTGAAATCCTAATTTTTTTGCCTCTGGAATATCTTTGAAGTTGGTTGGTAGCAAGGCCTCTGTGGTTTGGCCATGCTGATTTTCTCAGATTAATTTTTTGTGATACCAGAATTCTGAACCTTCTCTTTGGAACTGTTTTACCCAGTATTACACATCTAAAGATTTTGTTTTTTCTATTTTAAACAAGCCTTTTAAGAGGTTGCTATTTTCTCCAGCTTGCCCCCAGCACCAGCTCCTCCTATAAAAATGGAAAAGCTCCAGCAGCATTAATGCCTTGGTTAGCTGAGCCTTTATTTCCTATGGAGAACATTCCCAGCAGTTCCTAGGCTGTGTTTGTATATAAAATATTTATCTTTTCTTTACATAAATAACAGGGAAGTCTCGTGCCACTGTGCGCTGTGTTTGAGAAACCTGCAGTCCTACAGAGAGCTTGACTTCTCTAACAGGGTTATGAGATGCTACAAATCACCAGGCAGGTAAACTCATTAAAAGCTCTCTCATTAAGCCCTGGAATAGAAAAAATTGGTTTGCTTAAAGAGCAGGGACCAATCCAAGCTTTTTATGTCTGTGCCTGAGGAGTCTCATGTTTGGGCTGGGCTTAAAAGCATTGCAGGCTGGGAGAGAAACTTGTAGAATATTGTGTCTGAAATACACTGTGCCTCATCTTTTAAAAATAACAGAGGCTGGAAGGTGGATGATTCTATTTGAAGGCAGCCTGGCGCTGGAAGTGACAGCCAGGGATGAATAATGGAGGATACAGAGAGTTCTCTGCTCTGCAGCCTCGACACACCCAGAGAAAATTGAGAAATATTCCCCCCTGCAGCAAACAGGGGCAGAGCAAACACTTGAGCTCCTCTCCTCAGCTCTTCATGAATTACTTAACTCTCATCAGATCCAGTTTCATTCTCTGCTCTGTGAGGTGCTGCCTCCAAATCTGTGTCTGCACATCCAAATCTGTGTTTGCCCCCCTGACTCTCACTCAGAGATCACACTTCAGTGTTGTTACACAAGAGGCATCATTTGCACTTTCCCTTTCCATGTTTCTCCATTTTTTAAAAAGAGAGCTGTTGCAGACATCTTTCATGGAAAATCCTTTCCTTAGGATTTTTCCTCCTGAGAAGCTGGGAG